AACTCTGTCTCAAAATAAGGAATACATAGAAACCCTGAACAGACCAATCACAAGCAGAAAGACTGAATCAGTAATAAAAAGTATATTGCCAACCAAAAACGCCCAGGTCCAGATAGATTCACAGCTGAATTTTACCAGACATTCAAAGAAGAATTGGTACCAATCCCACTGAAACTATTGCAAAAGATAGAGAAAAGGGGATCCTCCCTAAATTATTCTGTGATGTCCGTATCATTCTAATACCAAAACCAGCAAAGAACATAACAAAAAAATAAAATTACAGACCAATATCCCTGATGAACACAGATGGAAAAATCCTCAACAAAATACCAGCTAAACAAATCCAACAGCACATCAAAAACACAATACACCATGATCAACTGGGTTTCCCAAGGATGCAGGGAAGGTTTAACATACACAAGTCAATAAATGTGATACACAACATAAACAGAATTAAAAACAAAAACCATATGATCATCTCAATAGAGGCACAAAAAGCATTTGATGAAATCCAGCATCCCTTTATGATAAAACCCCCCAGCAAAATAGGCATAGAAGGGATTTGTTTAAAAAACAAAACAAAACAAAACAAAACAAAAAACAGCTATATATGACAAACCCATAGCCAATATCAAACTAAATAGGAAAAGGTGAAAGCGTGCCCCCTGAGAAGTGGAACATGCCCACTTTCACCACTTCTATTCAACATAGTACTGGAAGTCCTAGTCAGAGCAATCAAGCAAGAGAGACAAATAAAGGTCATCCAAATTTAAAAAGAAAAAGTCAAATTATCACTGTTTCTTAATGATACGGCCATATACCTAGAAGACTCCTCCAAAAGACACCTAGATTTGATAAACAAGTTCAGTAAAGTCTCAGGTTACAAAATCAATGTACAAAAATTGGTAGCACTACTATACACCAACAATTACCAAGCTGAAAATCAAATAAAAAACTCAATCTCTTTTACAACAGCTGCAAAACATTTAATACCTAGGAATATACTTAACCATTTAATACCTAGGAATATACTTAACCAAAGAGGTGAAAAATCTCTACCAGGAGAATTACAAAACACTGGTGAAAGAAATCACAGATGACACAAACAAATGGAAACACATCCTATGCTCATGGATTTGAAGAATCAATATTGTGAAAATGACCATACTGCCCGAAGGAATCTAGAGATTCAGTGCAATTCCCATCAAAATGCTAACATTGCTTTTCAAAGATTTAGAAAAAAACAATCCTAAAATTCATATGGAACCAAAAAAGAGCCCAAATAGCCAGAGCAATCATAATTAAAAATAAAAATATGGAGGCATGACATTCCTGGACTTCAATTTATAATACAAGGCTATAGTTACTAAAACAGTATGGAACTGGTATAAAAGTAGGCACATAGAACAATGGGACAGAACAGAGAACCCAGAAATAAAGCCAAATATTTACAACGAGCTAATCCTCAAAAAAGCATACAAAAACATAAATTGGGGAAAGGACACTCAATTTAATACATGGTGCTAGGAAAACTGGCTAGCCACATGTAGAAGGATGAAACTGGATCTGTATTTTTCACCTTATACAAAAATCAATTCAAGATGGAACAAAGACTTAAATTTAAGACCTGTAACCATACAAATTATAAAAGATAACCTTAAAAAAGGTCTCTGGATATTGGCCTAGAGAAAGAATTCACGACTAAAACCCCAAAAGCAAATGCAACAGAAACAAAAATAAATGGGACCTAATTAAACTAAAACACTATGCACAGCAAAAGAAATAATCATCAGAGTAAACAGATAACCCACAGAATGGGAGGAAATATTTGCAAATTATGCAGCCAACAAAGGACTAGTATATAGAATCTATAATGAACGCAACAAATCAGCAAGAAAAAATGAAAATAATCCCATCAAAGAGTAAGCAAATAACGTGAATAAACATTCATCAAAAGAAGATACACAAATGGCCACAAAACATATGAAAAAATACTCAACATCACTAATCATCAGGGAAATGCGCATTAAAACCACAATGAGATACCACCTTACTCCTGCAAGAATGGCCATTATTAAAAAGTCAAAAAGCAGTAGACGTTGGCGTGGATGTGGTGAAAAGGGATGGTGCATACACTGCTAGGTGGGAATGTATAACCTCTATGGGAAATAGTATGGAGATTCCTTAAAGAACTAAAAGTAGATCTACCACGTGATCCAGCAATCCCACTACCGGGTATCTGCCCAAAGGAAAAAAAGTCATTATATGAAAAAGACACATGCACACATGTGTTTATTTCAGCAGAATTCACAAATGCAAAGATATGGAACGAACCTAAGCACCAATCAACCAATGAGTAGATACAGAAAATGTGGTATGTATACACCGTGGAGAACTACTCAGCCATAAAGAGGAACAGAATAATGTCATTTGCAGCAACTCGGATGGAGCTGGAGGCCATTATTCTAAGCGGAGGAACTCAGGAATGGAAGACCAAATTACCCTATGTTCTCACCCGTAAGTGGGAGCTAAGCTATGAGAATGCAAAGACATAGAGAGTGAAATAACGGACTCTGGAAACACAGAAGGGGGAGAGTGTGAGGGTATGGGATTAAAAAACTACATATTGGGTACAATGTACACTACTCGGGTGATGAGTGCACTAAAATCTCAGAATTTACCACTATAGAATTCATCCATTTAACCAAAAACCACTTGTAAGACAAAAGTTATTGAAATTAAAAAAAAAAAAAATTAAACAGTTATTGAGCAACTACTATGTTCTGGGTTCTAATTCAGGGGTGGGCAAACTATAGCCCCAGAATTTGGCCCACAGCCTGCTTTTGTACGGACTGAGAGTTAAGAATAGTTTTTACACGTTTAAAGGATTGCAAAGACAAACATTCAAAGAAACAAAGAAGACTGTGCAACAGAGATCATCTGCGGTCTGTAAAGACTAACACATTTCTATCTGGCCCTTGACAGAAAGAGTCTGTGGGCTGCTGGTCTCCTCTAACGGTGGTAGAGATGCCTACACGGTTAACATTAATCCTTGGCACCAGAATCCTCAGCACCTAGGAACCAGATCTTGCCTAATACACTAATTTCAGTCTCGATCACCTTCCTCCGGCGTAGCGGTTCTCAAACGTCTTTGTCTTTGTGCTATTCGCGTATAAAATATTCTTTCATAAGCAACACTTCTCCTTTTAGGAGTACCTCATAATGGGGAGAAGGGGAACCCCAACACCCTTTAAGGGTTCACTGCTTCGCTGCCACCATTTCCGACGGTTTACACTGTTTTAAATGTGGATCTGGAATTGTTTTCAAGTTAAAAAGCAAAGGAATCATGTCCTCTGAAAATATTTGCTTTTGGCATGCTATAAATCAGTGTTGACTTTTGATACTGATGTGGTACATTAGGAGGGAATTCTCAAAAATGCTGAAATCTGGCCCCGGCCCAGTTATCACTGCTCTTAAGTTGCTGAGGGAGATACATGAATGAGCCCACGGCAAATGGAAAATGAGGAGTTTCAGTGTTTCCTAGAATTATGCTCAGCTACCCAGTACCTGACTGTCTGGTTATCCTTCCCTTCACCTCCCTGATGCAAGGAGTTTGGACCAGAGGCCTAAGGGGGCTTCTCCTGAAGCCCAAATCCCAAACTGGTCACCAGTCATGCTCCGTAACTCCTAAACCTGACAATAAGCCAGCCGGCCAGGTCTGCAGCCCGGGTTAAGAGGAGCATACCAGGAAACAGCCAAAGAGCAAAGGACCATGAGCCCTTCAACCGCTTTTACAATAATTTGGGCTAGGCGTTCAGGGCTCCGTAGGACCCTTCCTGGCAGCCAAGTGAGAGTGAGAGAAAGAGGAATGACGGTGCTTCCCGTTACTTCCACACTGTTGAAATAGAAGTAGAAGCAGAAAAGAACACCCTACAAGTCCCACCCATTTTGAGGCACTCAACTCACAGTGACAACCCTCCACACCTCTCCCCCGCAAAAAGACGCATAACAAAAACACCTACTCCAAACTGTGTCCTTATATCTCAGCCCTGAAGATCAGTATTGTGTGCCACTTCGGCCCAAAGGATGCATTTCCCCAGGGTTGAAAGTCTGAGAAAGAGGCTATATTCCGAAGGGTTCTTGTTGTCACCATCAAAAGGATCAAAAAGACGCAATAAATAAGAAAACAGCTTAGTTGGGTTGCATGCTCCATTTGAGCCAGTAAGCCTTGGAAACTTAAGTGTTTTCAAATGGAACGCCATCCTGCTTTTGGGGAACACGGAGGCTGCCTTGCAGTCACATGATCGCACACCACCAAAGGGCCACGCACTCTGATTTCACCCACTTAACTAAAGTTGCAGCAAAATCCCTATTACAGGCCAGGCGTGGTGGCTCATGCCTGTAATCCCAGCACTTTGGGACCCCGAGGAGGGTGGCTCATTTGAGGTCAGGAGTTGGAGACCAGCTTGGCCAACATGGTGAGACCCCGTCTCTATTAAAAATACAAAAATTAGCCTAGCATGGTGGTGCGCGCCTGTAATCCCAGGTACTCTGGAGGCCGAGGTAGGAGAATGGCTTGAACCCAGGAGGCGGAGGTTGCAGTGAGCCGAGATCACGCCACTGTGCTCCAGCCTGGGTGACAGAGTGAGACTCCATCTCGGGGATGGGGGGCGGGGGAATCCCTATTACAAATAAAAGCTGTTGTGATCCACACTGCATATACCTCTGGGAAAAGAACCGGAACCGTGAATTCCAATGCAAATTGATGCATCGGCACCGGACCCACTGCATTGGACACGTTTGCATTGCAGTCACCCCAGTACGGAGCACATCACAGATGATCTCTGCAGGTTCGTTGCCCACATAGGAGGCAGGCATAGTGCAGATTTCAAAGAACGAACACATCCTGGAGCCCAAAGAGCTATCTGGTTCTGCTTCTGGCCTCCTGACAAGTAGGGAAGAGAGTCACATTTTATAGACGAGGACACCAAAACCACACATGAGGAGTGCAAGAGTAGCTTTATCATGGATTTAGGGCTGTGGTTACAAGGAAGCTGTAAGGAGTAAAATGACTCCCCTGCCACGAAGACGTACTGTGCGGACGAGTGGAAGGAGAAATGTGGCCATTACAAAGACACAGAAATACGTTCAGAAATGAGGGGCAGGATGAAATCATCTAGGGTAGGTATTTAGAGGGAGAGTGCCGTGCAAAATAAAATCCTCACTATGAAACAAAGGCGGAGGCAGGAGGCTGCGTTGGGTGGAAGAAGCAGAGGAAGGAGACGAAAGGGACTGTCATTTTCATGTCGTGGCTTTTTAGAAGACGGCGGTGTCCTCTACTCTGATTCTATCAAAGTGTGTTCTTGGGATGCAGGTAACGTTCAGCCAACGAAATAATTCCTATGGCGGCAACAGGAATAACAAAACGCAGAAGCGGGAACGATGTCTTTTTTATTCCTCCCCAGATGCAAACGTGGATGTGTGAGGTTTGGTAACAGGCAAAGTCATCTGGTTCACGTGACTGATGGGAATCCCCTGCGGTCTGGGCAAAAAGTCACTGGGTGAATGGGATGGATCAGACTCCCTGTCCTGAGGGGGAGACGGTTTCTTGCAGAACGAGGTGAAGGAGGTGGTTCTGCTCAGCAGTCAACAGTGGCCACATCTCCACCTGCAGCGACTTGATGGCTTCCGTGTCCTTTTCGTGGGCAGCCATGACCAAAGACTGGAGCAGCAGAAAGAGCTCCTCGGGAAGCTGGCCGCTGCTCTCCTGCCCGTGGCTGTCAAAAGCCTCCCAGGAGTACTTCTCCAGGGTCTGGGCGTGCTCCGGCAGCAGCTTGGCCGGCGGTGGTTGTAGGAGGAGCAGCAGCAGCACGCGGGACACCTCGCAGCGGACCAGCACGTCCGAGAAGGCGCCCAGGGCGGCGGGAGAGGGCGCCGCCGAGCCGGAGTTTGGAGGAAGCAGCGCGGTCGGTAGGGCGGGGGTCGCCCCGGGCCCGGGCCCGGGCTGGGGCCCCGGCGGCGGGGGCGGCGGCAGTGACTGCACCGGGTGGCTGCCGTGCTCCCGCGCCAGGCGCTGCATGCGCGTGAAGACCGCCAGGGCGCCGGTGTAGTCGCGCGCCAGCAGCTGGCAGGAGGCGGCCTCGCCCAGCGCCTGCAGCGCGGCCAGGGGCAGCTGGGGCAGCTGGAGCTGGGCGGCGCGCTGGAAGTGACCGGCGGCGGCGGCCGGCTGGCCCAGGTCGCGCAGGGCGGCGGCCAGCTCGAGGCAGAGGGCGGCGGCGGCGGCCGGCTGGCCCAGCTCGAGGTGCAGACGCACCGCGGCGCCCAGGGCGCTGGCGGCGGCCTGCAGCGGCTCCCCGTAGGCGGCGGGGCAGACCAGGCGCTGGCGCGCGTCGCGCTCCTGCCGCAGGAAGAGGCGGGCGGCCTCGGTGAGGGCCAGCGCCTCCCCGGGCCCGTGGAAGAGCGCCTGCTGGCAGCGCGCCACCGCCAGCTGGCACCAGGCCGCGTACGGCAGACACTCCTGGGCGCGCAGCTCCCGGCCCAGCTGTCCGAACTGCTCGCCGGCCTCCGCCACGTTCGGCTTCCGCAGGAACCGCTTCTTCAACTTGTTCGATACCAGCCGGTAGCGGGCCAGGAAGTCCCGGCCTCGGGTCCCGAGCCGGCGCCGCCGCCCAGGCCGGCCGCCGCCGCCGCCATGCTCGCCGCCCCAGGCACTTCCGGACGCGCTGCCGCAGCTGGCGGACGGGCGGGACGGGGCGGGGCGAGGCGGGGCGACGTGCCCTGCGTCCCCCTTGGCGGGCTGCCGGCGTGCCGGCGCCCGCTCCCCAGCCCGAGCGTGCCCCTTGCCCTGGTGATGTGCAAAGAGCGGGATCGGAGGCGGGGCCTGGCCGGGCTGTGAGCGGCGCATGCAAATCCAGGGTCTCGGGGATGCGGAGCCAAGACCCTGGGAAGGTACGCGGGGCCTGGCCGGGCGCCAGCTGCTGCTAGCTCGGCTGCAATGCAGATGGTCTCGCTTGCTGAAGGCCTCCCACAGCCTCTCCATCTGAACATGACCCAAACTAAACTCGTGACCCTAATTCCGTGTCCGTGCATTTCTCGACTGTTTTCCCCCCACCGCTCACTCCTCCATCTTCCTGTCCAGGGCCCCTTGCCAAGCGCCGGGTCCACCTCTCCGTCCCCAGCCCGGTTGCCTTTAGGAGTCCATCCTGTCGCAACGCTGCAGTCATGGTCTTGAGGCCCACCCGCCCCAACGAACGCCATCATGCTGAGGACTTTCCCGGGCAGGCCCTGACTTGCTCAGAACCAGCGGGGGTGTCCCCTTCCCACCCAGGGCCAGTCCCCTGCACTGTCACCGGGAGGGACCGCTCCTCTGTGCCATCCCTGACTCCCACCCAACCCCAGACCCCCACCACCTCTCCATCCCTCCAGCTGTGGAGGTCTCACAACCCCCCACCCCACTCACCGCCCACGCCCCCAACACACCCCATGTCACCGCCCAGCCCCCACCCCATGTCACCACCCACCCACCCCCACCCATCTCACCGCCCACGCCCCCCCCACCCCAAGGCAAAGTGACTGAAGCAGGCAGGTGGGTTCCTTTAAACATTTTATTGACAGAATTAATGAAGACCCAAGACTTTGGGGCCCGGGTGGTGGGGGTTGATTTAAGGCCGGGGGTTCGGGCCGGGGGATTTGAGGCCGGGGAGTTTGGGGCTGGGTGGGTGGACGAGTGGACCTGCCAGGTCCCAGGGGCCGGGCGTCAGAAGCTAGTCCCCGCCGGGGGCCACTTGAGAGATGGTGGTTGTGTCAAAAAGGGTGCTCAGCAGCCTGTTGTTGTGAACCGCCATGTCCAGCAGCAGTGGAGTGATGTTCCTCTCTCCGTTGTTCTGGGCCTCGTTGCCCGCCAGCTCCAGGACCTTGGCCGTCAGGTACTCGATAACCGCAGCGAGGTAGACCGGCGCCGTGGGACTCAGGCGCTGAGCGTAGTGGCCCTCCCGTAGACCGCGCTCCACCTGGCTCACCGAAAACGAAAGCTCCGCTCGGACGGTGCGAGAGCGGGTCCGCCCCCGGCCACCAGCCCTGGAGGACCGGCGATGGCTCCTCCTCTCCGACATGCTGGGCGTTGAGTGTGCTATCTCGGCTTGCCCCTAGCTAGACAAGATGGCTCTCAAGATGACAGTTTACCGCGTCCAGTACTGTGTATCCTATGCGGACCAGGGCCCCAGCCCCTCATTGGCTGGGGAGCCGAAACCAAGGGCACGCCGTCCGGTGGGGGCACGCACGCCGGTGAGGGGCAACGCACGTCCGGTGAGGGGCACGCACGTCCGGTGAGGGGCACCGCACGCGTGAGGGGACGCACGCGGTGACCGGCCTCACAAGGGACACGTCCATCAGGTGACTCAGCGCTTTCCCATTGGCCTCGAGGGAGCAGGCCTGGGCCTAGAAGTGACTGGAGGGCCATGGTGGGGGAGGGGAATCCGCTCGTGACCCTCTCTCTGCCAGTGGGGACTCTCACTTTCTACTGGGATGGGAAACATTGTTGGGGAAAGACAGGGGGTGGGCGAGGGGAGAGGGGTACCACGCCTTCACAATGTTACACATCCGTCACAACCACCTAGTTCCAAAACATTTTCAACACCCTCAAAAGAAACTGAAACCCCTGCACCTATAAGCAGTCACTTGCCACACGCCTCCTTCCACACCGCCACTACCAACCCCACACCCCGCCACACACAGCCCTCTCCCCCCGCCCATACGTACGTTCCCGATAGTCCCTGGCAACCACTTGTCAATCTGCTTTCTGTCGGTAGAGGTTAGCCTGTTTTGGAGATTTCCTATAGATGGAATCGTACGACCAAATGTTGAGGCCTTGTGTGTCTGGCTGCTTTCACTTAGCATAATGGTTTCATCAGGGTTTCATCCATGTTATTCACTGCTAGAGTATGGAAATACCACTGATTGTTGCAGATTGATCCTTGGGTACTGGCAGCTTTGCTGAGCATACTCAGATTAGGGTTGGCGTATTAGTCCGTTTCTACACTGCTATAAAGAACTGCCTGAGAATGAGTAATTCATAAAGAAAAGAGGTTGAATTGCCTCATGGTTCTGCAGGCTGTACAGGCTCTGCTTCTGGGCAGGCCTCAGGAAACGTGCAATCATGGCGGAAGGCGAAGGGGAAGCAAGCACCTTCTTCACATATTGGAGCAGGAGAAAGAGAGAGAGAACGTGCGCGAAGGGGGAAGGGGCTGCACATTTTCAAACGATCAGATCTTGTGAGAACTCTATCACAAGAATGGCAAGGGGAAGTCCGCCCCCGTGATTCTGTCACCTCCCACCAGGCCCCTCCTTCAACAGGTGGGGATTACATTCGACATGAGATTTGGGTGGGACGCAGAGCCAAACCATCTCGGGTTTTTCTTTTTTTTTCCTTTTGATGGACTCTTTAGTGTCCTCTATATAAGAACATGCCATCTATGCACGTATGAATAGAAATGGGTTTTACTTGTTCCTTTGCAATCTGGATGCCTTTTATTTCTTTTTCTCGACTAATTGCCCAGGACTAGAACTTTGAGTACGATGTTGAATTTAGAAGTGGCAAGAGAAGACATCCTTTTCTCATTCCTGATCTTAGGGGGAAGTCAACCAGTCTTTCACCATTAAGTATGATATTATCTCTGGGTTTTTCATGGTGCCCTCTCCAGTTGAAGAAGTTTCTTCTATTCCTGGTTTGTTGAATGTACTTTCATGAAAGGGTATTGCGTTTTGTCAGATGATCCTTTTTTGTACATGATTAAGATGACCATGAGTCTCCCCCCCGCCCCGCGCCCCCCGCCGCTCCACCATGCATTCCTGTTAATACGCTGTGTATTATATAAGTTGATTTTCACATGTTGAACCAACCATTAATATGGTGTATTATATAAACCGATTTTCACATGTTGAACCAACCTAACATTTGTGGGATAAATCCTGTTTGGTCATAGTGTATAAAGAGTGGTCGATAAACATTTCGTTGAAAGAATAGGAGTGGATCTGGCAAGCTTCTTGGAGGACAGTGCGTGTGTTAAAGAATCTGTAGCATGATGAGAAGCCAAGGCACTGGTGGGAGGAGGGGAGTTGCAACCAATTCATTAAGGCTGGAGAGTAGGATGCCAGTGGAGTAGTAGTGGTTGATGTGGCTGGGAAAGAGGTAGGCAGGAGCCAAGACATGGAGGCTCTATTATACCATGCTCAGGGTTTAGAATACCTGTAGGCTACACTGAACCCCACTGTGGTCTTCAGCTTGGGAGTGACATGGTCTGATTTGCCTCTAGAAGGATCACTCTGGAAGCTGCATGGAGAATTGAACAGAGAGGATTGTGTGTGGAGAATAGAACAGAGAGGACTGAGATTGGAATTAGAAAGCTGCTGTATTATACCAGTCAAGAGAATGACAGATATCTCAACTAAGACAATGGCATTGGTAGATAAGATTAGGGGACAGAGTCCATGCAAAGTTAGGTAGTAAAATGGCACACAGTAGGCACTCACTACATATTACTCATACTGGCGAACCTAGCTGGAGACATGATAATCATTGTCTCATTCTTCAAAAAATATTGAAGGGTAGCGCCAGGCATACTGTGTTAAGCATTGAGACAACACCAACGAGAAATATAGATCAGATCCCTGCATGCAGTCTGGTGGACATACAGACAAGGAACCAGTGTATAATTATAACACTATACTGTGATAAGTGCTATGAGAGGGGAAGTTCAAGGTGCTGGTTATAGTTTGGTTTGTTTGACCCCTCCAAATCTCATGTGGAAATTTGAAACCAGTGTTGGAAGGTGCGGTCTAATGGAAGGTGTTTGGGTCACGGGGTGGATCCTTCATGAATGGCTTGGTGCCAGCCTCACAGTAATGAGTGAGTTCTCACTTGATTCATTCCCACAAGAGCTGGTTGTTAAAAAGAGTGTAGCACCTCCCCCTCCCCCCGCAACCTTGATTCCTCTCTCACCATGTGATCTCTGCACTTGTCGGCTCCCCTTCACCTTCTGCCACGAGTGGAAGCAGCCTGAGACCTCACCAGAAACCAAGCAGATGCCAGCACCATGTTTTCCTATACAGCCTGAAGAATCATGAGCCAGATAAACCTCTTTTCTTTATAAATTACCCAGCCCCTCAGGTATTCCTTTATAGCAACACTGATGGACTAAGAAATTGCTGTAGGAACACATAAGAGGAGTAATTTACACAGACTTTTGGGATTGGGGAAATGTTCCTGGAGAAATGGTGTCCAATATGAAGCTTGAAGAATGAGTACAAGTTAGCCAATTGGAAAAGTGGGGCATTGGTTGGCAGGGAAGGGGCATGGCGATGGGGAAGTGAAAAAGCTCTAGTATGACTCCACAGGGGTAGAGTGAGCTGACTACAGACTTTGGAGTCATTCCTGGACAAATGGGATGAAGGAGGAGGTCTGCGTATGGGTAGGAAGATGAGTTCAGTCTCGAGCATGTGAAATTTCAAATGCTTGTGGGATATCCATATGGAGATGAAGGATATTTGGCTTAGGAGTTCAGGAGTGAAGTTAATACTGAAAATATAGATTTGCGACTCATCAGGGTAGTTCTTGAAGCCATGAATGTAGTTGAGACCATTCAGAGAGAGCACATAGAATATATAAGGGGACCAAGGACAACTTCTTTTAAGGGGCAAGCAAAAGAGGAACATCATTGGAAGAAGACTAGAGGAGTGTCTCCACAGATAAAGTTGGTGTGGGGCGGGTGGAGGGGGGGGCATGCTGAAAGATAATCAAGCCAGAAAGAGATGAGAGCAAAGGTTCAGAAGGAAGCCAGAGGAACTGAACAAGAAGTGACAAACTCAGAAACACTTGCTGAGTTCCAAAATGATAAGCATTAAAACCTGTTCACTGAATTAAGCAATGCAAGTGTTGCTGGGGGCCTTGGCAAGAGCAATTTCAATGGAGGGGTTGGAGGCAGAAACTAGACCAGACTTGTACTAGGAGCTCGTGAGAAATTCCAAGACATATCTTCCCAATACTGGGCAGCATGATAAATGTCCACATTAGAGAGAACTGGTGAGCAGGCCATGCTCAGCCAAGGCATTTTACATGCCTAATGGAATCTTGCGTAGAAACCTTCTCCAAGCGTAGAGGTAAGGGTAGGTCTGATGGCAACAATCTCACTTACTTTTCCTTCGTCTGCGAATGTCTTGATTTCCCCTGCATTCCTGAAGGTAATTTCACTTTGTAGACAGGGTTGCAGTTCTTTTGTTTCGCCACTGAGAAGTGTTATGCCGCTTCCTCTGGCCTCCATGATTTCTAATGAGAAATATATTGCCATTCTACTTGCTTTTGCCATATAGGTGAGGTTTCCTTTCTCTCTCTCTCTCTCTGCTTTTGAGACATTTTTCCTAGGTCTTTAGTTTTCAGAAGTTTGACTGGGATGCTTCTTAGTGTAAGTTCCTTTAAGATTATTCTGTTTGGGGTTCACTCAGCTTCTTAAATGTATAGGTGTGTGTCTTTTGCCATATTTAGAATCTTCCAGCCATTATTTATTTGAATACTTTTTCAGTCCCACCCCCTTCCTCCTTTCCTTCTGGCACTACTACGATGACACAAAAGTTAGCTCTTTTGTCATATTCCCACAGATCCCCAAGTTTCCACTCATTTTTTCCCCCAGTCACTTAGGCTCAGGCCACATGTTCTGACTGGGGGTTTTAATGTTAGTTCCACTTCAAAGCCTTTCCAATGGTATTTGGTTCTGTTAAGCATGATCAGCAGTCTTGGAGCTGGCGAAGTCTATATCCCTTACTCAGTACAGTTCTCGAAGTCCTTTGTATGTTGTATAGGATCACATCTGTACATACACAGCTTGGGGGTAAGCCCAGAAGTTCATACACAGCTTCATGGGTTTACTTTCCCAAGCACTTCCTCCCTCCCTGCAATCTCCCCAGCACTTTCTGGTTCCCTCAGCTTCCCCTTTTTAACCTTCTAGCCAGAAAGCTGTTGCTATTGCTTTAGGTACTCTTCTCTGCCACACACTTCCTGTGCCTTTGCCTTCCTCTGGTGTCATTCAGCAGGAAGACCAAAGAGAGAAAAAAGAAGGCATGGGCACCCTCTTGGGACCTACAA